AGTCGGGGGTGCAGGGAAGAAAGGTCCCTGGGGAGGAGGGCTGTGGTGCCTGGGAGCCTCGGTAACCGACCGTCCTCTCAAAAGTGGCTGCGTGGCTCTCGCGTTGGACAGACGCAAAGCAGCAGCTGAAAAACAGCAACTTTGGACTTGGGCAGGTGGTGTTTCCTGGGAGTCCCAGGCCTGGAGGCTGGGTGAAAAACCATCTTGCAAGAAGGCCTCCCGTTTCTGGAGAAAGCGCTGTGGGTGTTTCTGCAGCATCACTCGGACTCAGACCGTCCCCTCCGAACGGCCTTGGCAGCTTTGCGCGTTCTCGTGGCTTACGGTCTGGTGGACATGTTTTCTTCTGGGTGGGCTTTTTTCCTGCGGAATGTGAATTGGCAGCGAGAAGCTGGCTTGGGGAGGTGACCGTTGTGGATGGGCAACTCCTGTGGGAATCTCCCCCACTCCCTGCTGTATCTCACGGCTGCCAGACCCCACCAGAGCAATTGCTCTAGAAACCTGAAGGGAGGACCGGGATGATCCCGAGGTCTTCCCACCAGGTCCGGATCCGCTCCTCCTTTTTGCAGCCGTTCTTTTCCTTTTCCTCTCTACCTCGGCTCTCCTCTGAGCAGTTGCTGGGCGAGGTGGCTTTCACAGCTCCATGGGCAATTTTCTGGGTCACACCCTGGTGGCTGCACGTCCGAGGCTGCGTTGTTTAGATGGCCTCCTTGCAGCTTTTCTCAGGCCATCACATTACTAAATCCAGATGGAGTCCGTACATTTTAAACACCTGCCCCGCCCACCCAGTCCTTCCTTTGGTGGGAGGCAAGGAAAAACTTCTTGGTTGTGACTTCAAATATCTATTAAAATAAAAGGAATGGAAAGGAAAGCGGCTAAGGGTTGAGCAGGGATCTTGTTTACAGAATTTAACCAGATAGATATTCTCAGCTGATAGGCAGGAGAGGGCGAGTCGTCTGGAAAATGAGATGGAAGCAGTAGGAAGTCTCTCTCCTCCCCCCCAAATTAATTTCAGATTTCTCCCCTGCATTCTCCCATTTCACCATTTCCCCCCCCCCCAGAGTTAAATTAGCGCCTGGGGAAAATTTCTAGATCTTTGTTTTGTGCTCTGCCGTTTCGGAGAGCTACAGAAGACAGGAGGGAGCGTGTTGATTTCATGCTTGGCTGGATGTGCGTGCCCTGTTGCTCCTCTGGCAGGATTCGGGTCGTGCTTCTCCATCTGCGCATCCTTTGGGCAGCAGGGGAACAACGGTGGGCACAGAGGAAGTCTGGCCGGGAGGGGTTTTTCTTTGGAAACTGCAGTTTCATTCTCGCTTCTGTCCGTCTTCCTCTCCAAACGCTGAAAGCGTTGGCACCCCGGAGCCCACCGGTGGCAGAAGGGTGTGCAGCGGAGTGTCAGTTGTTGCTCCTGGGATGCTGTGAAATGCAGCTTTCTTGGACGTCAGGTCCAGCGGTGGCCTTGAATCTGGGAGTGGAACAACTCCGAAGCAGATCACAGGAGGGAGCAGCAGAATGGGTCTCCTGATCCCTTTCAGAGGGAACTGGCTGAGAGAAACCTAGCGTGATGATGGGGGAATCCCAACAACCCCAGACTTTTGTAAAGATAATTGCTTTGAAGGAGAGACACCCCAGCCCGGGTAGAAATTTGATTTCTTCATGGGCTTGACTCCCCAAAGTGTAAGCTTGGTGCTGCTTCATCCCAGGCTAGCGATCCAGTAGGTTCTCTTGTTGGACTCGGGTGGCTGGGAAGGTGACTCTGGCTTTTATTTTACGAATTCACCCTTGCCCTGCGTCCTGCTTGCAGCTGCCACCCTTCCTTGCTCCCTGTAAGACCTGTAACCAGTTGGAGCCAGCAGTCACAGTTTGCGCGTGTATCGCAAGACACTCCTTTTGCTCGCATGTTATGGTTTTCCTTCTCCGGTGCATCAACGCTGCTACCGTGGAAAGGAAGAACTTCTGCTTTTAAGGAGTGTTTTGCCATGCGGTTTTTGTTATTTTTGTGTCTTTCGTATTCTTCCCTTTCAAATGCTTTCTTGCTAATGGACAAGACACTGATTTACCGTACATGAATGGAAAAAGCATTATAAACCATGGAAGAGATTTTCCAAACTCCCTTTGGCTGTTGAAATTAAACCAGACGTAGACAGACAGAATACTTATGGGAAACCAGACCAGGAAGAAGACTCCTATAATGTTGTTGGCCAGTATTGGATGCAGTTCTGTCTCAACAATTTTTTTTTTCCGTAGATGCCATCCTAGATATTAAGAGGGGCAGTTTTCAAGTTAGGGTCTTTAGATCTCTACTGATCAGACCGTTCTGGATTGTAGCACAGTTTTGGCATTCTATCTGCTCTTAAGGCTTGGTAGAAGAATTCTCTGAATAATAGGTTTGGCGTTGGAGTTTGGATGAAGTCCTGTGAAGTATTTTAAGGAACACCCATTTGGTTTGGCAGTTTTTCTAGCTCTAATCCAGCACTTGCTGGTGGGTGGCTAAAGTTATTTCCTGGTTTCAGTTTTAAAAGGGGATAAACAGACTTGAATCAGAGCTGTTTTTTTTTTAAATGGAGATATATATTTTCTTTTTCCACAGGGTCCTGAAAGCAAAGTTCTAGAAGGCTGAAGTGCGGTGGGCTGGCTTCCCTAACCTCTTTCCTCGGTCGCACCATTATTTTGTAAGTGCAAGGGCTGGAAGTCCTCCTCTGTAATCGGAAACAAGGAGTGAGATAAATGGGTGAATTTACTATTGGTTACTGAGCGTAGACTCTAAGGATGTGCTATGCTTTGGATTCAAAGCAACGCATCTCTGTAGCGGCGCCTAAATCTGTTGGTTCAAAAGACTAAGCTTTAGGTTAGCGTATCTGCTCTTACTCATCCCTTGTCTGTATAGCTGGGGATGAGTAAAAGCAGATACGCTAACCTAAAGCGTAGTCTTTTGGATTTCAGATTTTCAGGCTGCTGGTGAATGAGGTTCCTTGCATGATGGGTGGTCATGAGTGAGGTTTCTGCTTCGAAAGCCGTTCTTAAAGGCATAGCTGCTGTCGCTGGGTGAAAGCTGGTGGCGTTAAGGCGCTCAGCATGCTCCAGCACACGGGTGAGGGGAGACATCTCAAAGTACTGTTGTAGAAACCCTGAGATGCCAGGCTTCAGCCTTGGTGTTAAAACTTTCGCTGGGTTGAGAGTTGCTGAAAAAGCTCTTGCTGGATTTTTTTTTGCAGTATATCAAAAGCGGGAAGACAAAGGCGGGTTTGATGTTTTGCGTGGCACCCGTTGGAACAGGACCCATCATGAATGTCACGAAGGGTGGGCTGGTCCTGTTCTCAGCCAACTCCAATCCCTCCTGCATGGAGCTCTCCAGGAGAATCGCTGAGTAAGGCATCTTTACCGGCCTGACCTTTTTCAGAGCACTTTTTCCTGATTGTTTCAGCAACAGAGTTTTGATTTGGGGGGGGGGGCATGGAAATGATAGTCACCCTCCTGCAAGTGTAGAGTCTTTTGTTACGTGAGGGTTCACTGATAATTTGCCAGACATCAGGCAATGTTGAAGGTGCCTGTTGGGGGAAGAGCACTTTCAGGGCCACAAGGCTTAAAGCATCCCCTTTGCTCCTTGAATTCCCTTCCCAAACATTACAAAAAAAGCTAGAATTTTTGTGCCTGTCTTTTCTGGAAGGGGATCTGGGTGCTGTCAGAGGGGCCCTGATGGATCTCGTTTTAGGCAGACCTGCCGTAAAATAGGAGAGCTTAAATGGCGACCTGTGTACTGCTGTTAGTTTCTAGTATCCCTTTGAAATAATCTGTGCAGCCAAGATAGTAAAAATTTGGAAAATAAAAAGATTTGGGTACTACAGCCATCTGTTAAGCAGGCAAAATATTTTAATGTAGATTTTGAAAATCAAGGCCAGCTTCAGCAGGACTTCAGTAGAAATTCTGAGGAATAGCAGCCAGTGAATCATTGCCCTTACTTCATTATAGAGATATGGGATTGTATTGTTTTTAGGTTGCTGTGATTTTTTTTTAGGATGTAAATCACTGGGATGTGTTTTCTGAGCCCCACAATACAATAAGCAAAGAAAGGCAATTTAAAAAAAAAATCAGACTCTAGAGTAGAAAGCATCTGAACTGCTGGAGGTGGACCTGGATTAAATTTACCACATTTCTCCAAAAGGCAAGTTTTTTCATTAATGTGTGCTTTCTGCCTTCAGTAGAATGACCTTGCTTTCTCTTGGAACCATTTGCAGGCGACTGGGTGTAGAGATGGGCAAAGTTCAGGTGTACCAGGAGGCAAACAGAGGTGAGTAGGAGCACTTGTGGCCTTGGTGTCTTGAGGGTTGAAGGAGGAGGAGCAGCTCCTTAAGTGTCTTTCTTCTCCTTCCCTGTGGTGCGGATGCGCACATGCCCACCCCATCACCCTCACCCTCACCCTCACCCTCTCTTTCTGGAGAATCCTGTTGCTAGCAGTGATGCCCGCCTGTTCTGATTTTAGAAAGATCGGAATAGGCCAAGCAGTGTTGTTGCTGTTCTTACATTGGGCTGTGATGCACAACGCTCTGCGCCCGTGTGTAAGTCATGAGCGCGTCTGTTCTTTTGGCAGAAACAAGGGTGCAGATTCAGGAGTCGGTGAGAGGCAAGGATGTTTTCATTATCCAGACTGTTTCGAAGTGAGTACAAGCGTTAGCTTGAAATAAGCCTTCTCCAGTCATCCTCTCGATCATGTTTGTGAAATGCTGTTTTAGTTTTTGTTTTGAGTTGTTTATTTTCCAGTGTCTTCTGGTACATTAACATGTTGGTATTCTGAGTAACTGTTTGGAGCAGTTAACTAAGTATTAATAAAGTGAGGGCTGTTTGTAGCTTGGGGAAAAGCTAATCCACAAAGCAGGTGCAGCTGCAGAAAAGTAGGAGCTCCTTTGGAAAAGTGGGGGACCCCCAGAATGTTTTCCCACAACCTTTGCATTGGATGGGTCAAAACTGGTTGGGGAAAAGGGTCCTGGGGATGCCTCAGAGCCAAGCTTTTAATGATCCATTTGAATTGCACTTGGAAACCAGGAGCTCAGATGTTGTGTGTTCAGGTTGGTGTGTGCCAGAGAACACCCAGCTGCTGTGTTTTGGACTGCTTTGAGCTTTTTTTAAAGACAACCCTGTCATAGAGCTCACTGCGGTAGTCCAAGCAAGTGAGTCACCGCTGTGCAGTCCTGTTCCAGTGACAGCTGCATTTGTTGTGTAGTAGAGCGTTAATCGCAACTTCCTCTTCTGTACTCTTTCCTTGTTGGCATTTCTTCGCCATCTTCCGCCTTGTGCGGTCAACCACAGCCCCTTCCTCGTTGGCCAACTCACCAAGTGCAGCCTTAGCTGGGATGATCTGGAAGAGCTTCCTTGGACGGTGCAGTCAATTCACTTGAACCCTTCTCTCCTGCTGGTGTTGCTTTAAACCAGTGTCTCCCAGTCGTGACAACTTCAACTCCCGGAATTCCTAAGTCAGCATGCTGGGAGTTGCGGTCCACACATCTCAAAGTTGCCAACGTTGAGAAACACTGCTTTAAACTATTACTGTATTTTATTTTTCAGTTCTGTCACTAGCTCACAGCTTGCCCACTGACATTTTTTCCCCCGTCTGCTGTTTATCTCTGTTGGGGGGAAGTTACTGTGGTGCCTCTTTCCTATTTATCTATCATGCAGCCCATGACTTTTTGGATGGGAGGGAAGGGGCGCCAAGTACAGGCACATGGCGTTAGGCTCCTGTGTGCATTTCTATGTCCAAGAAACAGCATTTCTTGATCTCCTTCGTTTATACAGTATTGGGCAGATAGGGAACCTGCATACTTGCCAGGCATAGGGGAGAGTAATTCTCCTCAACAAGAACTGGCAGTTGAAGCCATTCACTCTACTGCAGACACGTTGCCCAAAGCTTCCTGTTCCAGTGGCAGAGAGGCCCGGCATTTGTTCCCCCTGGAAATTCAGGCTGTGTGAACAGCAACAGGACTGGCATCTCTTCATTCCAGGGATGTGAACACCACCATCATGGAGCTCCTGATCATGGTGTACGCCTGCAAAACGTCTTGTGCCAAAAGCATCATCGGCGTGGTCCCCTACTTCCCCTACAGCAAGCAGTGCAAGATGCGGAAACGGGGCTCCATCGTCTCGAAGCTTCTGGCTTCGATGATGTGCAAGGCAGGTAAGAGCGGCGAGCAGGAACCTTTGCTGTCGCTTGGCGTTTGCCTTCCAGGACCCACCCCAAGTCGCCTCTCGTTTCAAGGTCTTCGCTAGGCTGGGAAGGAAAAGGTTGGCCACACGCCAAGGTTGGCCCCGTGCCCAGAATTCTGCAAGTGGGCCTGACGTCTTCCCGTGGTGGGGAAGGCCAGCTCCGGTATCCGTGGGGAATGCTAAGTTGCTCGTATGCCCTGTGCGAATCAGCCTAAATTATTTACCGGAGAACTTCTGAGCTCTTTTGAAGAGGGAAGATAAATGAAATCCATGAAAATGCAAGTTAGCCTTATCGAAATTCCCTTGAGAGCCATTGGTGGACTGGTCCCGGGGACACCCAGATTGGAGTCTACCCTCAGCCCTGGAAACTTTGGGCCAGTTCCATTTTCTTAGTGTGGCCTACCTCATACGATCGTTGCTGTGTGGCAAAATTGGAGCAGGGAGGGTTGCATACGCTGCCTTGAACTTCTGGAGGAAATGCAAGATATAAATCTAGCCAACAAATTTTAGATATTTGGATACTAAATGTTTAGATTATTCAAAGTGGGCCTCCTAACCCTTATTGTCAGAAGAAGGGCCTAAAACAGCCAGAGTGCGTGTTTAGCAACTTTCCCTAACTTGGTCCTTTCCAGCTGTGCTGGATTTCAACTCCCATCATCCCCAGCCTGCTGGGCATCGAATTTACTGGGTTGGGGGAGGCCGGCCGGCTGTTTTTCTCCTCGATGTAGTGACTCCAACTTTCCTGTTCTCTCCGTCTTCCCAAAGGGCTGACTCACCTGATCACCATGGACTTGCACCAGAAGGAAATCCAGGGCTTCTTCAATGTCCCTGTGGACAACCTGAGGGCATCGCCGTTTCTGCTGCAGTACATTCAGGAGGAGGTGGGCTGGACCCTCTGCCTCCCAGCTGGGCAGCTGCCAACAGTGGACTGTGCTCTTTGTGCAGCCTATCCTTAGCTGGGGAAGGGGGTGGACATAGGCCACGCCTTGGGGTGTGTGTGTGTGTGTGTGTGTGTATGTAAAGATCCCCACCCACTCCTTTTAGGATGGGCGCCAAAAATGAAAGCATTGGGGAAAGACGGGCCAGGGGTCAGCAGCTGAGCAATCTAGGGCAGCGTTTCTCAACCTTGGCAAGTCTAAGACGTGTGGACTTCAACTCCCAGAATTCCCCAG